GGTTCAATTTGTGTTCTAGAGCAAGAAAAGAAGGAGAAATCAAGCTTCCTCACCAATTTTCCAAGTGGGGCTGTCGGCTTGGTTGGGTTCCTTTTTTTTTTTCTCTTTCGGGTGGCTGCAACGGGGAAGAGATGAGCAGAATCGGGCTGAAGAAGAAGAAAAGAAAGAAAGAAATAAGCCATCCTTATCCAAATTTTCCTCTTTTAAGTCCCTCAAGTTTTGAACATTTTGCCATTAAGCCCCAAAACAACATTTTCCTCACAATCAAGTCCTTAACTAAGTGCTAAATATCACAAAATTTTGGGGTATTACATCCACCCCTCCTTAAAAGAAGTTTTGTCCCCAAAACTCAAATTGAGGATCATTTCGAGTGGTGAATGGCTTCACACAATCCGAGACAAAATAAATGCCTCACCAACTCTATATGAATAGAACATAGCTTACTACGCTTTCGTTGCGCCACTCTGATAACAAATCACAACTAATCATAAAAGCAGAACATTAACTACTTAACGGGATTTACCATGAAACAAGCTATTAGATGCTGGGGTGATATGGGAAGCACAAGGAATAGAAATAAATCCTACCAAATCCACAAAAGAACAATTGTGGGGTTATGCTTTGAACCCAACACAAGACGAGTTGGCAAAGAATGGCATGGATTTAAAGTCGAGTACAAGAAAACTTTGAACTCTATCAAAGACGGATAAGCATCCAATGGATATATGGATCATGAATGAATGAACGAGTTCATGGATGCCTTATACACTCTGCCACAAAACAAGGTTAACCAATAAGGTCATGTTTAACAAAGCAATTGGAGTCAAGAAACAGATTTTAGCAATTAACAAGAGTTAAAAGCTAGACCCATCAAATGACATGTGAAAGTTTCAAAATAGCATCAGAATGAAATCAGTGGAAAATATAAATGCTTGGAAGAATACTAGAACATAAGAGTGCAAGGTGGAATGCCTCAAAAATTCAGCAACAGAATGGCATTCACCAAGAATCAAGATCAAATTTAACCAAGCAATCAAAATTGAAAGACAAGAGTTAACCATGAAACAAGCAATAGAATTCAAGGATTAGGCCCACAAAAGAGATTTCAATAATAACAACCAGAACACAGATTCAAGAGCAGATATAACCAAGATGTCAAGATCTAGCACCCTAAGTAACAAGAATTAATTAACAGAATACTCAATAGTGGGAATCAAGATACTTAGAAGAATACTATCTTCTAATTAAAAGGGCAAACAAAATCAAAGCAGCCAGATAAAAGAGTCATTTCTCTTGGAACAAAACTCTAGGGCATCAAGTACTTCAAAGACCACCCCTTCACCTCGTAGCCTATGGGGGCTAAGCAGATTTACAATCAAGTCATCCTAGACATCCTAGAGTCAAGTCAAAGCTGGGACATCAAGAATACCGAGATTAACACTTGTAAGAGACAAGAATTAGGATGCCTCATATAGGTATTTTCTAATAATCATCACCCCTCCTAAAGAGGTATCCATATGAACAAAAATCAAAACCAAGAAAATCAACAGGTATACTAAAACAAGAACTAGCAGAATATGCAGGATTTGAGCAAGAGCAGTATATAGAATTTGAACAAGAGCAAAGGTCAGGACAAGAATGGTTTTCAAGGACAATTCAAACTAGATTCCAAAAACCAAATATCAATTGATTTTCAAGAAAAGGATGCTAACATGACTTTACTCCAAGCAAGGTTCAAGATAAGATTCCAAGAACAATGCAAGAATTAATTTCAAACAAGAATCAAGATAATGAGGATTTCAATAATCATTATCCATTTTCTTTGGATTTTAGTTTCAAGAACAAATACAAAGCAATCTCAAGAAGGATTCAAGATGGATTTCAAGAGTTTTAAGCAGTTTCCAGATATCAAGAATGTTAAGATTAGCAACAATAGAGAGTTTAACTTTATGACAACTTGCCAATCTTCACAAAAACATGGCAATTTCAATTAGATTGATCATTGTTTTTGATTAACCAATATAGAAAAATGAGCCACATGAAAAGACCATGAAGCTCCAGATGGAAAAGTGAACTTTCACTATTAAGACTTTCAAAAGATAAGGAGCAACGGAATTACCAAGTTATCCAGCTCCTAAAACGCATCTAGAAAACACACAACATTTGCTAAAATAGCCTTGCATCTCTTACAAAGTAGAGGGTTTGCCCATCTTCCACTGGTCATGTGACAAACAGAACAATTTTCTCAACCAGCTATACTGTAGAGACCAACAAGATTAATAACAAAAGATCTCTGCAACTCCCCAGATTTTACAATTGTGGCAAAAGAGCATACAAGAATTCTATTCACGTAACAAGTCTAAACAAGTGCAGGCTATCAGAAAATGACCAAGTTTCAAAACAAGGCCTTAAGAACATGGTGGACAAGATTAATTTCTTGAATATACACAGGGTATGAAGGCAGGAAACAAGAACAATCAGAATACCATCTCATCAAAATGGCTTAGAAAATTCAGGCAACATGAATCAGAATCATCCCTTATATAACCCCATCACTTGTCTCACCATGGTTCTAAAATCCACTGGCCAGCCAAGTTCCCAACAAATCTTAGGTATTCAATTAAACCTAGGTATTTAATTAAACTTAAGCTCAATACCTCTCAATCTGCTCTGATATCACTCAATCTGGAGGTGCTTAATTTAATCCTAAGCTCTTAATTTAAACTTAAGCTCTTAATTTAAACTTAAGCTCTGATACCACTAAATTTGTTACGCCCCAAAACCCAATTTCGAGGCACGACAGACGCTGTGCACTTGTGAGAGGGTCCCACAAATGCACAAGGCTCAGAACTTATCATATTACAATCTGAAACCACCAAAATCTCAAGGTCAAATCTCTTGTAACTAACAATCCATTCAATGAATTTATAAAATCTTCAATGAAAATCTAGTTTACAAGATCATGATCTATATCTCAAATCTATCTCAATTCTGAAATGGCTAGCCTTCTAACTCGTCACTTCCGTGGTTTCCCCGTCCTCGGTTTCGTTTCCTCAAATGGTGGACAAGGAAAAACTATGAGATAAAATATCTCAGTAAGTAAATATGGAGTGCCCCTTATTAAACTTAAAGCATGCCAACAAGTATAATCACGAAAAACAGATACGGGTACGAAAATGAAATAGATGTCTCCTCTACAGGTCATAGACAGTGTTATAACAACCCACTGGCAGATGCTAGAATTTACCAATGTGTTCGCCCATTGGCAGGCGTCAGAATTTACCGGTCATATCAGTAAACATGTCGACATATGCTAGCGTTTAACCCCCACTAGCAGGGTCACTAATAACATGACCACATCAGAAACAAAACAGGCAGAAGTTCACAGAAAAATCATAATTCACCAATCACTTTCAAATCATCAGGACAATCAATTAAATTTCAAGTAGGCATGCCCAATTTAATGAAAAGCATAAAAATTTCACTTCAAATCAGTCATACTCACTTTTGCATAAAACAGATTTAGTCTTGCCACCACTTCAAAAACAAATCAAAACATGCTTTTAAAAACTGTACGGTCATTACCATAAATTTACTTACCTTACTCGCATAAAACCGAATACTCGATCTCAATGCTCGAGTGACAAAACACTCAAGAACCTAATCAAAATACCTCAGAATTAATACCGTACTATCACAAATTCAAGTGAAATCGTCATTAGGACTGCCCTTAATCACGATACTATTTCTATTAGTCTCCACATTATCAAATATCTCCAAATTCGTTCTTATATCACAAACTAATCATTTAAATCCCCACTAATTGTTGGCCATCAGTGCATGAACAGTACCGTGAACAGTACCTCATGAACAGTAACTGCATTCCCAAAATTTGCCAAAACACTAGCTAATTTCACGGGATTTCACTCCAAAAATCATAGCAACTAATCAAGCTAATTTCTCTACCTAAACCAAGCTTAAAACATAACTTAATTCTGCCAAAATTCATCCCCAATTTCAACTGAAATTCCCGAACAGTACAAGAGCAAATCAAAGGCAGAAAATTCAAGATTCAAGGCAGCAAATTAACGGAAAAATTCGGGGTTGGAGGGCTGTCACATACCGAAATTTAACAAGCAAAATCGGAGCTGCAGCTTGGGGGAAGCCGGCGGCAGTGCAGGGAAAGCTCCGGGATCAACCCAAAATTGGAGAAATCAAGGGAAATTAGAGTAAACCCAAGCCAATTAAAGCTAGAGAAGGGAGATTCATGGCTGTTTCTTACCCAAAATCAGAGAAATTCGCCCCCACAAAGCAGGAGCAGCCGGCGGTGAGGAGCAGAGCAGAGCAGATCTGGGATTCCTGCAGAGGGGGGGGGGGGAATTTCTGGGTTCAATTTGTGTTCTAGAGCAAGAAAATAAGGAGAAATCAAGCTTCCTCACCAATTTTCCAAGTGGGGCTGTCGGCTTGGTTGGGTTCCCTTTTTTTTTTCTCTTTCGGGTGGCTGCAACGGGGAAGAGATGAGCAGAATCGGGCTGAAGAAGAAGAAAGCAGAAAGAAAGAAATAAGCCATCCTTATCCAAATTTTCCTCTTTTAAGTCCCTCAACTTTTGAACATTTTGCCTTTTGAACATTTTGCCATTAAGCCCCAAAACAACATTTTCCTCACAATCAAGTCTTTAACTAAGTGCTAAATATCACAAAATTTTGGGGTATTACATGACTATTTAAAATGAATGAATAAATTAATTATTATCATTTTTTATGTGTTTTGATAGATGGATGGTAATGAGTTGCCAAGAAATGATGAGAGTATAAGTGGTTCTAATGAATCAAACAAACTACAATTCAATTTTTAGTGCTGGGCAAGATGGTGGTGTTAGGCGAGAAGGGTGTTAGAGGAATTAACATAAAAAGTGAAGTTTTCTGTTAGGTTTTTAATGGCAAGAGTGTCTTATTACTCTTATTTCAAAACATAGATCTTTAACTGTATATCTTGATGCCACGGACCTTTAAATGCACTCATCCTAAATCACAAGTAGGCTAAATGTAATTTCCCCTTGTATAAGTTTATTATTAGTTGTTATCAATTTCAATGGTTCAACCACCTAAATGATTTGAACATACTTTTCGAGACTAATTGTCACGCCCCAGAACCAAAATCCGAGGCGTAACAAACGCCGTGCACTCGTGAGGGAATCCCACAAATGCACAAGACTCGGAACTTATCCAATTCACATCTGACAATCCAATAACTTAAATAATATATTTCAAATTAATTCTATGTCCAACACTTAAGCTCAAAATCTCAAGGTAAAATCTATCTTACAAAAGCATGATTTACTTCTAAAATCTATATCAATCTCGAAATGGCTAGCCTTCTAACTCGTCACTTTTCGTGGTTTTCCCGTCCTCGGTTTCGCTTCCTGAAATGGTGGACAAGGAAAAACTATGAGATAAACTTAGTAAGTAAAATATGGAGTGCCCCTTATTAAATTTATAGCATGCCAACAAGTGCAATCACGAAAAACGGATATAGTACGGGAACGAAATAGACGTCTCCTCTATAGGTCATGGCCAGTGTTATAAACCACCCACTGGCAGGCGTCAGTAATTACCAATGTATTCGCCCATTGGCATGCGCACTATTTGCTGGTGTATAACCCCCACTAGCAGGGTCACTCGAACGAACTAGTTTTATCAATAACATGTCGACATGTGCTAGTGTTTAACCCCCACTAACAAGGTCACTAATAACATGACCACATCGGAGACAAAATAGGCAGAAGTTAAGAAAAATCATCATTCTTCACTCATTTTTTTCTCATCATGATGATCATTTATTTTTTTTGTAGTCGTGCTGCTTTTTTTGATGAGGATTATTATTTTTTTTCTTCTCATTCGTCCTTCTTTTTTTTTTATACGGTTTTTTTCGTGCCGCCACTTCTTCAATAAGTCGTCATATTCTTTTTTTAACTGTTGTGGCGTTATTATCATTTTATTTCTTTCCTTCGTCTCATACCGCCGACTCCTTCTTCTTGGTGCTCTGCTAGCAGGATGATGAGGCTCCTCATCATATTTTCGAATTATTTATTATTGCACCGCTTCTTCAGTAGTATCATCATGATTACTCCCTCCTCATCATGCTGTTCTTCTTATTCTTCTTCTGATGAGCCGTCTTCTCCTTTTTTTTTTTTTTATTAACTACTCATTTTTTTCTTCTTTATTTTTTGGCCATTAGTGCGTGAACAGTATCCATAAACAGTAATTATGCAATGAACAGTACTGCAACTTCCAAAAATTGGCAAAATCATAGCTAATCTCACGGGATTTTCTCCAAAAATCACAGCAGCCAAAATAAGCTAATTTTCTACATGAATTAAGCTAAATCATGGTCTAATTACTATCAAATTTCTCCCCTATTTCCAGCAGATTTTCGGACACACAAGGCAGCAAATAAATGGACAAATTCGGGGCTTGGAGGGGCTGTCAACATACCAGAATTTTAGCAAGCAAGGCTGGAGCTGGCGGGTTTGGGGAAGAGCCGATGGGATCTGCAGGGAACTCACGGGCTACCAAAAATTGGAGAACCAAAAGCACAAATTAGAGTAACCCAAGTTAATTTAAGGCTAAAAGGAGGAGACTCATGGTTGTTCTTACCGAAAAAAGCCCAAAAATCACCCACCCACATAGCAACCGATGGTGAAGACAGAGCAGAGCAGATCTGGAAATTTTCTGCAAGGGGGATAGTTTTTGGGTTCTATATGTGTTCTAGAGCAAGAAAAGAAGGAGAAATCCCCAAGCTTTTACCGGTTTTTCTTCAAGGGAGGGCTGTCGGTGGTGGCTGGGTTTTGTTGCCGGCTGCAGGGAAGAAGAAGAAGAGCAAAACACGCGAGCTGAAGAAAGAAAGAAGGAAGAAAAAATCACCCGATCCTTATCCAATTATTTTCTCTTTTAAGTCCCTCAACTTTTAAATTATTCATTATTAGGCCCAACAATATTATTTTCTCACACAAAGGTCCTTAATTAAGTGCTAAAATATCACAAAATTTTGGGATATTACATTCACCCCTCCTAAAAAGGAGTTTTGTCCCCAAAACTCAAATTGAGGATCATCGAGACTGGTGAATGGCTTCACACAATCCAAGACAAAACAAATGCCTCACCAACTCTTTATGAACGGAACATGGTCTACTACGCTTCCGTTACGCCACTCTGATATCAAACCACAACTAATCATAAAAGCAGAACATTAACTACTTAACAAGATTTACCATGAAATAAGCTACTGGAGGCTGGGGTGACATGGGAAACACAAGGAATAAAAATAAATCCTGCCAAAGCCACAAAAGGACAGTTGTGGGGTTACGTTATGAACCCAACACAAGACGAGTTGGCAAAGAATGGCATGGATTTAAAGATGAGTACAACAAAACTTGAACCCTATCAAAGACGGATAAGCATCCAACGGATATATGGATCATGAATGAATGAACAAGTGCATGGATGCCTTATAAATTCTGCCACAACAAGGTTAAGCAATAAGTAAGGTCATGTTTAACAAAGCAATTGGAATCAAGAAACAAATTTTAGCAATTAACAAGAGTTAAAAGCTAGACCCATCAAATGACATGTAAAATTTCCCGAATAGCATCAGAATGAAATTAGTGGAAAATATGAATGCTTGGAAGAACACTGGAACATAAGAGTGCAAGGTAGAATGTCTCAAAAATTCAGCAACAAAACGACATTCACCAAGAATCAAGATCAAATTTAACCAAGCAGTCAAAATTGAGAGACAAAAGTTAACCATGAAACAAGCAAAAGAATTCAAGGATTGGGCCCACAAAAGAGATTTCAATAATGACAACCAGAACACGGATTCAAGAGCAGACATAACCAGGACGTCAAGATCTAGCACCCCAAGTAACACGAATTAATTAACAGAATAATCAATAGTGGGGATCAAGATACTTAGAAGATTACTGTCTTTTAATTAAAAAGGCAAACAAAAATCAAAGTAGCCAGATAAAAGAACCATTTCGCTTGGAGCAAAACTCCAGGGCATCAAGTACTTCAAAGACTACCCCTTCACCTCGTAGCCCATGGAGGCTAAGCAAATTTACCATCAAGTCATCCTAGACATCCTAGAGTCAAGTCAAAGCTAAGACATTAAGAATACAAAGATTAACACTTGCAGGAGACAAGAATTAGGATACCTCATATAGGTATTTTCTAATAATCATCACCCCTCCTAAAGAGGTGTCCATATGAACAAAAAATCAAGAATCAAGAAGATCAACAGGTATACTAAAATAAGAACTAGCAGAATATGCAGGATTTGAGCAAAAGCAGTATACAGGATTTGAACAAGAGCAGTATACAGAATTTGAGCAAGAACAAGAGTCAAGACGAGAATGGTTTTTAAGGACAATTCAAAATAGATTCCAAAAACCAAATATCAATTGATTTTCAAGAAAAGGATGCTAGCATGATTTTACTCCAAGTAAGGTTCGAGATAAGATTCCAAGAACAATGCAATAATTAATTTCAGACAAGTATCAAGATAATGAGGATTTCAATAATCATTATCCATTTCCTTTGGATTTTAGTTTCAAGAACAAGTACAAAGCAATCTCAAGAAAGACTCAAGATGGATTTCAATAGTTTTAAGTAGTTTCCAAGTATCAAGAATGTAGAGATTAGCAACAATAGAGAGTTTAACTTTATGACAGCTTGCCAATCTTCACAAAAGCATGACAATTTCAATTGAATGATCATTGCTCTTGATTAACCAATATAAAAAAAATGAGCCACATGAAAAGACCATGAAGCTCCAAATGGAAAAAGTGAAACTTCACTATAAGACTTATAGAAAGATAATGAGCAGCGAAATTACCAAGTTATCTAGCTCCTAAAATGCATCTAGAAAACACAACATTTGCTAAAATAGCCTTGCATCTCTTACAGAGTAGAGGGTTGCCCATCTTCCACTGGTCGTGTGACAAACAGAACAAATTTCTCAACCAGCTATGTTGTAGAGACCAACAGGATCAATAACAAAAGATCTCTGCAACTCCCTAGATTTTACAATTGTGGCAAAAGAGCATACAAAAATTCTATTCAAGTAATAAGTCTAATCAAGTGCGGACTATCAGAAAATGGCCAAGTTTCAAAACAAGGTCTTAAGAACATGGCGGACAAGATTAATTTCATGAATCTACACAAGGTATGAAGGCAGGAAACAAGAACAATCCGATTATCATCTCATCAAAATGGATTAGAAAATTCAGGCAACATGAATCAGAATCGTCCCTTATATAACCCCATCACTCGTCTCCCCACGGTTCTAAAATCCATTGGCCAGCCAAATTCTAAACAAATCTTAGGTATTCAATTAAACCTAGGTATTTAATTAAATCTAAGCTCTAATACCACTAAATTTGTCACGCCCCAGAACCCAAATCCGAGGTGTAACAAACGCTGTGCACTCGTGAGAGAGTCCCACAAATGCACAAGGCTCGGAACTTATCCAATTCACATCTGACAATCTAATAACTTAAATAATATATTTCAAATTAATTCTATGTCCAACACTTAAGCTCAAAATCTCAAGGTAAAATCTATCTTACAAAAGCATGATTTACT